GGGTATTAGGTATTAGGGTTGGGTTCAAGGCTAGAGTATTAAGTATTAGGGTTGGGTTCATGGCTAGGGTATTAAGTATTAGGGTTGTGGGTTCAAGGCAGGGTCAGTATTAGGGTTAGGTTCATCTGACCGGTCGACTAGAAAATAGTTTCTTCATTGATCAGAATGAGGGTGGGGGTGGTAGTGATACCACTAAAAGCACTAAAGTGGTGTCTAAGTTTAACCATCATCACCCCCCCCCCCCACTATCGCGTTATGATGCCCTAAACAAATGATCGATACAATACTCATGGGTCGGCATCATTCGATACTACAATGAAGCTAAACGAAAACTTAAATATATCCACAATTTTAAAACCAGCATACTGACAAGATCATTCAATATAATATACCGTTCAATGTTGTCATTGGCTAGGTCAATCTATCAACATAAAAACCATGTATAAATACAATTGAATGGTGGTTAGGTCAATCTATCAACACAAAACCAAGTATTTAATGACAACATTGAAACTCACGGACAATAACGAGCCCGATCCGCTTCTTTAAATCACAGGATGAAAGAACTAGCGCGCACTTAACAAACAGCAGCTAACACTTGAGTAACTTGTATGCACAAGCTGCGCGCTTCAACACGTTCTTCTTCATTCAAGTAGACAAAAGTGCGATAATGTTCAGTGTTTCTCGTGGTGTTGACGTCTGCTGTTGGCAGTCTTGATGGTCTGTTGTTGTTAGTGTTGACGGTATGTTGTCAGTGTTGATCGTCCGTTGTTGTCAGTGTTGATAGTCTGTTGTTGTCAGTGTTGATAGTCTGTTGTTGTCAGTGTTGACAGTCTGTTGTTGTCAGTGTTGATAGTCTATTGTTGTCAGTGTTGATAGTCTGTTGTTGTCGGTGTTGACCGTTTGTTGTCAGTGTTGATTGTTGTTGTCAGTGTTGATAGTCTGTTGTTGTCAGTGTTGATAGTCTGTTGTTGTCAGTGTTGATAGTCTGTTGTTGTCAGTGTTGATTGTTGTTGTCAGTGTTGATAGTCTGTTGTTGTCAGTGTTGATAGTCTATTGTTGTCAGTGTTGATAGTCTGTTGTCAGTGTTGATAGTCTGTTGTTGACAGTGTTGATAGTCTGTTGTTGTCAGTGTTGATAGTCTGTTGTTGTCAGTGTTGATAGTCTGTTGTTGTCAGTGTTGATAGTCTATTGTTGTCAGTGTTGATAGTCTGTTGTCAGTGTTGATAGTCTGTTGTTGACAGTGTTGATAGCCTGTTGTTGTCAGGGTTGATAGCCTGTTGTTGTCAGTGATGATAGTCTGTTGTTAGATGACAGGCTAATGGACGGCCCGCAGTGGGATTTGCCGTCAAGATCCTAATCAATTTCAAGTTTCAACAATTAACTTGGATTACAGCTCTTAGCAAGCACTTCACAATACAATCTCTTTTGTACACGGCCGTGGTAACTAGTCACAATACAATCTCTTTTGTACACGGCCGTGGTAACCAGTGTTTCTTCCAGACTTTTTTCTCCGGGGGGGGGGGGGGGGGGGGGGCTCACTTGAAATTTTCGGGGGGGGGGGCGGTAAACTTTCTTCGGGGGGGGGGCGGTAAAAATTTTTTCGGGAGGGCTTAGCCCCCCCCCCCCCTCGAAGAGATGCCTGGAAGAAACTGGTGGTAACTAGTCACAATACAATCTTTTCTGACCTTTTATGAAGATGTGTGACTGAGGGGAGGGGGGAGGTAAAAATCGTCAAAAAAAGCGTGACGTCATTTATAGATGACCCCTTGACTCGATTATCATTATACACATATTCCCAAGCCACTCGTAGCAATAAAAATTTTTTTTTAGAAACCTACTTGTAACCTTAAGCCAACCATATGGCGAACTCATAAAAAAATGAACAACAAAATCGTTATCGGTATGATTTATCAACATCGAAGTTTAGTAGCTTCGTAGCTCAACAAAGAGATTTTTATGCAGTTTTTTACTTTCTCGTATATACGAAGTATAGAGAAAGTCTTGTAATCGTGCAAAAAAAAAAATCGAGATTTTTGCAAATCTCGACGTTTTGCATCTCACTGATACGGAAAAACATAATTTTGCAATCTTGTCCGTATGTCTGTGTGCCTGTGTGTGTGTGTGTGTGTGTGTGTCCGTGTGTAAACACGATAACTTGAGTACCGTTACAGCTAGGTTGATGAAATTTCATATATAAGTATTTTATCAAAATCGTAGATCCGTATCAACGTTTGAGCGATTTCCGATAACCGGAAGTGGTACTTTTTCTACTTTGAATTTTTCAAAAGCCTATAACTTGAGTACTATTTCAGATAGATAAATGAAATTTCACATGTAAGTAAAAGATCTAATTCTCTACCTTTTGTTAAATTTTGAGTAATTTCCGTTGACGGGAAGTACTAATTTACGCTATTTCCGATTTCTCAAAAACGCATCTAAATTAATAAAGTACTAATAATATTGCGCACCATTATGAACATCTTTATTCGGCGTTCGCTTGGTGTGCAATACTTTTTTCTATGAGATTCTATTTTATTTTAAAAAGTTTATGTATTTAAAATGGATTAAAAATCATAACTATATCCCGAGCTCCCATCTCTTGTTGTTTTATATAAGAATATTCGAGAAAGTTTAGGGGAGATCACTCCCGGTTTATTTTTTTACTTTCTCGTATATACGAAGTATAGAGAAAGTATTGTAATCGTGCAAAAAAAAATCGAGATTTTTACAGATCTCGACGTTTTACACCTCACTGATACGGAAAAACATAATTTTGCAATCTTGTCCGTATGTCTGTGTGTGTGTGTGTGTGTGTGTCCGTGTGTAAACACGATAACTTGAGTACCGTTACAGCTAGGTTGATGAAATTTCATATATAAGTATTTTATCAAAATCGTAGATCCGTATCAACTTTTGAGCGATTTCCGATAACCGGAAGTGGTACGTTTTCTACTTTGAATTTTTCAAAAGCCTATAACTTGAGTACTATTTCAGATAGATAAATGAAATTTCACATGTAAGTAAAAGATCTAATTCTCTACCTTTTGTTAAATTTTGAGTAATTTCCGTTGACCGGAAGTAGTAATTTACGCTACTTCCGATTTCTCAAAAAACTAATGTAAAATTTTAAAGTACTAATAATATTGCGCACTATTATGCACTTTTTTATTTCGCGTTCACTTGATGTGCAATTCTTTTGTCTACGAGATTTTATTCTATTTTTAAAACTTTAAGTATTTAAAATGGATTAAAAATAATGTCTATAGCCCGAGTTCCCATCCCCTGTTATTTTATATAAGAATATTCGAGAAAGTTTAGGGGAGATCACTCCCGGTTTATTCCAATTTAAACTTCTATTGTGGTTGATTTGAGCTCAAAATTTCTGTTTTTCTGTTTTCTGTCTCAATAGCTGACAGCCTAAATAACTTTAATCATTGTGATTCCCCAAGCATAATTTTTAAAGACACATTTCAAAGGAGATCCTAAATAAACTAGAAACATTTGATTTTCTATCATTTTTTCATCAACTAACAAGTAAAATATTTAAAATAAAAAGATCGGCTTTGATTGATTAATATATTGCTGCTATGTTTTAACAAATAAAATTAATGCTAGGAAAATGATTTAAACGTCAATGATGTAGATATTTAGTTCTGATTTCAAACATCCCACAACGTTAAGTTAAAGAGCTAGATCTCATCTAAATCCCGATAAATCAAATGAATATTTAATTTTAATAGTTTGTTTTTTACTTTATAGCCAAAACTGTTCACTAAAATATCGCCCTACATACCTAGCATGCGTTAATTAAAATAATTGTGGGGAAATTGTTGGATATATAATTAACATTTCTTACCTTTATATAAACATTGGCCAAAGATGGAAACAAGGTGACCCGCGCCCACTATGCCAAACAAACGAACACACCAACACACACACACGGCGCTAACAAAGAAACCGTTAACATTTTTTTTTTGTAGCGGAAGAGATGCTTTTGCGGCTTGCGCTGTTTCATTGTCTGATACCATTGACAAAATGGTCAAACGTAATCACTCTAGACTAGGTTTCGATACTGTGGTTAGTTTAGCCCAATTAATTAAAAGACGCGTTCGGTACAAATAATTGGTTAGGGGCCTAAATATTATTTTTTAAATTAAAAGCAATTGGGTCTATTATATAGGAAGGTGTACATAAACCTTAACCCCACTATTGTCATTCAAATAATAACTGCAGATTTAGATCCACATGTTGGTAGTTTGCCGAATATGATACGATACTTTGGGAACAACCTTTGGACACATGGAAAAAAACCACAGGACTACTAAGGCCCTATAAACTAAATTTTAGACTTACCAATAGAATATTAGACCTAAGCTAAATCCTGGTGAATCCAAGACAAAGTTTGACATACACGTTGATAAAATAATAGCCATATTATTAGGGCTTGAGACAAGAATTAGGAGTGGAAAAAGAAAGATAACAGTTTACTACTGTCTACTAGTCTAGTATATCTTTAGGTTTACTTCTGGGCCTACATGTTCAAAAACGTCACGATTAATATGTTATGTCATGACAAATGACATGTAGACTAGATCTAGTGTCATGCAGCATAATGGTAAAATGTGTGTATGCCAAACTGTAAGCTTCACTACAGTTGTACAAATAAAAACCAAATAGACCTAGATTCCTAGATCTAGATCTAGTCCTAAATAAATGGTAATTTAAGTTATCAGTGAGAATACATTTGATTTTTTTATAGGCCCTACAGGTAATAAAACAACAAATACTAACAAGCCTCTGACTAAATTTTCAAAATATCTAATTTAGCAATTAGGCCTGGTAAAATAGTTTAAAAATAAAAAAAAGATCGGTCAAGGCCTATGACTAATTAGTCAATTAGGCCTAGATTCTAAATAAATATTAAAATAAGCCTAAACTCTAACTAAAACATGTCTAACTCTAAAAAAACAACATCAGCATAAACAACATAAACAAACCTGTTTTTTTATACTCCTCGGTACTTAGTTGCTCTAATTATTAATTAATGAATCCTCTTGAGTAGTCTTGGGCTAATTACTTCTTGGCTAATCAACTTCTCGGGTTATTCCAATATTATAAAAAAAATAATGTCAGTGGTAGTCCAAGTGAGACGAATGTATGTTGCCTTCTTGCTTGAATAATTAAAAAGTCCAAAAGAATGCACACGTAATCTAAAATAAAGAACTTTCTTTCTCTACTTTACTTTCACTACTTGATCTAGATAGATATAAATAAATGTAAACGATTGACTCCCTACAAACTAAACAAACCGCTACTACACCAGACACAATAGACACCCACGGAAATGGGGTCACTCTCGTTCAACCAACTGCCAAGTCCAACACAAAAACACTCGAGTGAACCCGCTACACAGTGCTCGAGGTGGGGCATGCGGTGTACAGGTAAAAGTTTACATCGCGTTTTTTGGTCCTACTCGATTCGTGTAGAAAGTGGTTGGTTAATGATGTCACTGATGTGTTGTTACCATCGACGGACTAAAAAAAAGTTTTTATTTAGTCGACCCAGCTAGGGCCACTGATTTATAGGTGACAATTAGATCTAAGTCATAAATGATTTTAAAAAACAAATGAAAGAAAAATAAGTTGAAGTTTTAACTCGAAGAAATCAAGTTTTAAAAATCAACGACCAACATTAATCGATTTGTTTTATAACAAAGCTAACGATTTAACTTTAATTGATTTCTTTATGCATAACAAAGCCACCATTTGACATTAATTGATTTCTTTATAACAAAGACATCATTCAACTTAAATAAAGACTAAAGAGCCACGATTCAACATTATATAGTTTCTTTAAAATTTGAATCAAATTCCAACGACCAATATTAATTGATTTCTTTATAACAAAGCCACCATTTGACATTAATTGATTTCTGTATAACAATGCTTACTGCTAATTAAGTCGATTTGGTTTATAGTATTTATAACAAAAGTCACGACAAACACAAATCAATTGGGTTCACAACAAAGCCTAGAAATCTACACCAAACCAATCCGTGTTGATGTTGATCAACAAAGAACAATGTCCACATCCCCGGGAAGATAGGCTGACCGTGTGACCTTTGAACTGATGGCGCACACTTGAAATCCGACTCACAAATGTTGCGTGTGATCTATTTATAGAAATAATTAAAAGCATTGACCACGAAACACATGGCGTCATGGGTGAGGATGGGTGGGTGAGGGGGGGGGGGGGTGTGTGGAGGGGGCGGGCATAGCGTTAGCAAAAAAAAAAAACGTTTGTGCGAGGGGTGTATATGTGAGGTGGTGGGGTGTGTGAGTGAGGGGTGCGAACAGCAGGACAAAAAAAAAGCAGGGAAAGAGAGATGGTAGGAGGTAGATAACCCATCGAAATGGAACCGGTGTTTCTTTCAGACTCCCTTCCCCCATCCGTCGGGAGGGTGTCAGGCACTCGTAAAAGTATATATTTTCTATATACATTCTATTTCGTTGGGGGGGGGGGGGAGGCGGTAGCCGTTCTTCGGGGGAGGAAGAGATGCCTGGAAGAAACTCTAAATGAAACATTTGTCAAATTAAAACTATATCAAAATTAAACCTATGCTGAAATGTAACCTTTACCTAAATGGGATATTTACAGAAACACAACCTATGCCCCACCGACGAAATGTCAGTTGGTACCTTCCCCTCCGTGTTTACTATAAAAACAAGTCTTTTCATCCTTTTGTAAATTCATTTTTTTTTTAAAACTCAAATAAGATTATAATTAAATTTATCTGGCCTATATTTCTAGGCCTAATTTAAACATAAAAATTAGTCAAATAACCCACTGCATCGTTGACTTTTACGTTAAAAATTTTAAATTACACATTTGGTGTACCTATTGCAAGGGAAATAACCGGAAAAACAAATACTACGATTGATGGAGAATAAAATAAGTAGGCAAAATGTATATAAAGGAAGGAAGTAGATTCATAGCTCATAACCTTGGTTAAGATAAAAGTTTACATTTTGAGTTGGTTGATAGAAATACACTTAACACAAAAGAAAAAGTTATATTGTATATTTTTTATTTCTAAAATTGTATCTTGAACAAAGTAATAAATACAGTTATGGGACGTGGCTGTGATTGTCAACAAACTTAGTTTACCCACGTTTTATTTTATAACTAGACTAGGTGTGTTGCCATAGATAAGATACACTTTATTCAAGACCGTAAAAAAAAAGAATAAAATAATTCGTATTAAAATTTAGGAATAAGTTTTGTTCCCAGAACTCGTGAAAAGTTATTCCAATTACATCGATAGAAAGGGTATAATTTTAGTGACATTCATGTACAGTTTTATTATACACGTTTTGTAAAGCCCCGTATTTGATGTAATCAGTAAATCAGCAGTAACAAATGCCTTTTTTAAGACTATGCATATTAATATTGGTAAAATATTTAAATAGTCTGATCTAAATATTTAAATATATAGACCTATATATATATATATATATATATATATATATATATATATATATATATATATATATATATATATATATATATATATATATATATATAAAATATACATATGAATGTATATGCCTATACTTAAAATTATTAACTCATTAAGTTTTATTTTTCATGTCTTAACTCAGGTGAATGAAATACATAAATACGTAGAAACTTCTTTGCTTCAGGCTGTGGAGAACACAATCTAGTCTAGGTAAAAATTTGACAGGTAGATGGATCAGATACAGGTAGACTTGGTCGTCTGCTCTACGGGGATTTACTACTTTAACCTCAAGGTAATGTAGGCCTATGATGATTACATCTTCAGAAATATTTTAACTCAATTTTTTTTCTTCAAAAGTTAGCTGATAGATCTAAGCCTTTAGTACTTTAAAACACCAAAACAGAGACAATAGTTCCTAAACAATATAGATCTAGGCATTTAAGAAATGTTCTCCCATTTTTTTTTCGTGAGTAGGTTCCAGATCCTATTTAGTTCAGTTTGCAAATGTAGTATTTTTTTTATTTGAATGTATTTGTGTATTGTCGAAATGTGCAACATATTTCATTGATTTAATGTGTAGTCCATAAGTTACGTCCCTTTCGTTGGATTGAGAGTGGCCGGTCCTGAGTTTTATGACGATGTGGATAGATGATAGAAAACGATTTAGAACGGGCGGAGCGACGTTTTGCAATGATGGGGATGTAAAAATTATCAAAATGAAAAAGCAAGACATTTATGGATAACCCCCCCCTAAGTTTCTTTTATTATAATTAAGACAAAATTTAGGTTGTTATCAGACGTTACAATTACCCCACTTCAGTTTCAATATTTAATAGAAAATTTAGATAATTTAAGCTAATGTCATATTTATATTTTTATTTTAAAGTCAGAACTTTTTTTTTTCCAGAGACTCCAAGCACCCTTTAAATTACTCTTTGTAAAAATTTCAGTTCTTATTCTTAACAGTTAAAAAATCGTTTTTTTTTTAAATTTTCTTTTTAAAAGATTTTAAAAGACTAGTTTAAAATTTATAAACATAAATTTGTAAGAAAAAACAGTATGAGCACACTCTGTATAATTGATTTAGACTTCCAAGTAAGAAAAAAGTGAAATCTTTGTTTATTTAGTTAGTCACAACGAATAATTATGATTTGATAATTTCATTAAACTTAAAAAAAAAGTTATTATAATATTAATCTCGCAATTTGTTTTTAAAATCTGACATTAAAAATATATATCAATATATACAATTAAAAACAATAACATTACTTTTTTTAAAGTTCTTGTTTATTTAAAATATTTTACATTACTTTAGCAGTGTTAACATATTCACAGTCAAGATCATTTGCATAGGCATGAAGAGCACAATTACACAGAGCCTACAAGTATGGAGTAGTTTATACTCTAAATCAGGGGTCTCCAAACTACGGCCCGCGGGCCGGATGCGGCCCGCGAAGTCCTCTCATCCGGCCCGCGGAGATCTTTTTGTCCAAGGAGAAATCGTTTGTTGGTGATGGCTGAGGAACTTTGCCCAGAAAATTCAAAGACATGCCTGGAAGAAACTGGCCCCCGAACTGAAATCTGATAGGTAATGCGGCCCTCGGACTGAAAAGTTTGGAGACCCCTGCTCTAAATGGACAGTTCAAATATAGCAGTTTAAAATCTTTTCTACGTTTTTTATATAAGGTTTTAACTCCTTGGGAGAAAACAGTTCAAAATCACAGCCATCAATGAGCTTGTCTTGGTTAAGCAAATGACATCTTAATCACAACAAGACACATTCTATGATGTAATGTAAACGATACAGTATGATGTAATGTAAACAACACAGTATAATGCAATTTAAACATAATATGATGTATTCAATATAAACAATAAACATGTTATGTGATGTTGTTAACATATTTAATTTATCCATAAGCAGCCCAGCAAGGCCTGATTAGAGACATGTAAAAGAGGGCTTCAGCACAATTTTATTTAGTGGATGTAAAGCTACACACTGTAGAAGTAAATGACGGACCTAAATTATAATGTAAACAAAGTGATCAATGGAATGTTTCAAAGAGATTAAAATCATACAATTGAATAAAATTAGCTGGTGTGTATAGGCAAAAAAAATGCTGAAATGGGGAGAGAACTAGTGTATGTTTGTATAACTTTTAGAACATGTCATATCATTTTAGCCTAGGCCGAGGTGTGATGTGTACCTTCACTAGTTCCATTTTGAGGCTAAAGAATGTTGAAGTTCAATAAAAAGGGAAACCTGTTTTTTTTAAATTTAACTTTTAAGTATGAACTTCAGCTAGGGTAATGCTTCTAAATATGTGAATGGTAAGTAAAAAATGCTGAGTTATTTTTTAAATGAAACTAAAAACCTACTGTTGTGTTGGGATAAATGTATTTTAGATCTAAAGCTAAATATTGTACAAACATAAGGCTACTAATGTTTATTGTGAAATATAATAAAATTCAACACATTTTTAGTTTATGTTGCATATATCTAAAACTAAAATTGTCCATTGATTAGCATTTAGAAACCTACAAATGCTGTCTGGTTGTTGTATGGAGAAATGCTAGTTGACAGGTAAAATAGCCAACACAGGGCTCAAGATTTTCTTTTGATTCTTTATCCTATTGTTACACTGACCAGTGAACTGACCACATATCCATCTGACAGTTATCCACTGGTCACCTAGCCACACTGACCAGTGATGGACCACATATCCAACATGGCAGTTATCCTCTAGCCACACTGACCAGTGATGGATCACATATCCAACTGACAGTTATCCACTGGTCACCTAGTCAAACTGACCTGTGATGGACCACATCCAACATGACAGTTACCTAGCAGCAAGTTCAACCACCGAATTGTGTGCAAACATGTTCAGACCAAAAACTATTAAAGTTAGATTTGATTGTACACATAAAACACATCTCAAATTTGACTAGGCATTTTTAATACAAATACTGTAGCATAACCAGCATATTTCCCCCATCTTAAATACTTAAAAATGTTTTGTTCATTTTAGAAGAAATTTACACATCCATTGTAAACATCAAATAATTAATTCAAATAAAAAATGTTAAATAATTGATGAATATCATATGAATTCATTTTTCAGGATATCATTTTGACATTTAAAATAGACTACACTGAAAATTGTGTACACATTGTATGTAATTTATAAATAGCTTTATATTTATACATTATTGTTATAATATAGTTTCCGTAAAATATATACATGTACAAAAATAATTATGTACTATAACTGCCATTCCAGCAGTCACAGTGCCAATACTTTATATTCCAATATTTATAAAATATCATATCCTTAAATATTTATAAATACACATTGACTTATAATACAGTGATGTCATGTAGTCCCTAGATGTCATCTTATTGTCATGACATGATGCTATGCCGTCTGCCACCATCGTAAATATGCTCCAACACTGGCTTGAGTTTGCGCACGTCTTGCAGTCCTTTACGTGAAGACACAGGGGAGTAGTTTGATGGAGTTTCCATTTTAAACGGAGACTTGCTGTGAATTTTGTCGTTGTCTGGAAGTTGAAAGTAACATGAAATGATTAGCCATTTAAGCATATCTATATGTAACTAGGGGAAGTTACCAAGAGACATAACGTGTTACAGTCTGACGTCACAGTGCAGGTGTTGGCTGATGCCAAGGCGTAATATCTCGGGAAGCGATACGAAAGACGGTCTGTCAACTTTGATGTGACAGGATGCAGGTGGCTTATTAAAATCGGACGGTACGACAGAAGCGGCGTAATTAACAGTCTGATGTAACGATTAGAATCGATTACAATTACGATTATGATAGGACCGAATATGAGTACGATTATGAAGGGGATATAAGGAAGGGGACGGCTGAGCTCGAGGTCTCTCAGAAAGTCAGTCTCTCTCAGTCAGTCGGTCGGTCAGTCAGTCAGGCAGTCAGTCTCTCTCTCTCAGTGAGTCTGTGTGGCAGTACCACGTTGGTTATATTGTGTTAAGAAGGACGTTAGACATGTGTATTCAGTTAGATGAAGCCTAGTGAGGACTGTTGGGGGTCCGTTGATTCAGACTATTATTGTGAAACATCTCTCTTGATTCATTATATTATTGTGAAGCATTCTTTGATTCATGTAATAAAAGGATCAATAATGAACCTGCATCTTCGAGTATCTATGCTGTGGTCAATGTTGTGTGGAATGAGTGGTTAGACTCGGGAAGGTCACATTTGGCGTTGTCGCCAGGGTAGCCAGAGACTCGTTACATTTGGCGTTGTCGGCAGGATAGACTCGGGGACTCGTTACATTTGGCGCTGCGACCAGGATGAATTCAACGAGACTTGCCGCTTTAGGCACCCATAGTCAACCTAGTTCATAACTGTGTTTAGTGTGTGTGTGAATTCGGACATTCAGGAACAGTGAAAATTGAGGAACGAGGAAAATTTTTTCATACACACACGGTAAGAAAGAACTCTTTTTTTTTTACTAAAGGAATAAAATGTCTACTCTGGACGAGAAGCAGACCCATATTGTGGTCCTGCCCAGAGAGTCCCACATTAACAAATTTTACGGGGACGGTGATCCAACTTTAACCAACAGGTTCAGTGAGGAGGTCAAAGCGGCCTGGGCCTCGAGAAACATGTCACCAGAGGAAAGATTAAGACTGCTGATGGGCAGTATAGGAGAGACGGTTAGGGCAGAGGTCAAATGCCACGATAAAACCGTCCAATCAGATCCAGATAAGGTGTTGGATCTAATTATGGAGACCTTTGGGGAGAGACGGTCGGGATCGCAACTGCTATCGGGGTTCGTAGGCGTAAAGCAGAGAATGGCGGAGAGTGTGATGGAGTATTCACACCGAATAAACAGGGCCTTTGATTCGGTAAAGGGCAAAACACCTGACATTGATGTACGCCTACTGAGGGACCAGTTCATCGAGGGGCTAGCAACCTCGATCTTAAGGAGAGAGTTGAAAGAGGAGGTCCACAAAGACCCGCAGTTGACCTTCCTTCAGGTTAGGAACTCAGCGATCCGCAGGTCCGAGGATGAGGACCAATCAAACTGTTCGGTGGACAAAGTCTCTGTGCCGGAACAGGAACAATCCCCACCCACGGGGACCGGCACGGTGGAAACCATGATGGCTCAACTGTTGGCCCACCTGGATAAGGTTAACCAAAGATTGGAGAGGTTAGAAAGCAGGTCAACAGCTGAGAATCAGGAAAAGAACGGTACAAAACAGAGACAGGTTGGACGGCCGCGACCCGCCGGTCCATCACTCCGGTGGACGGCTGACGGTCGACCAATTTGTTTGTCCTGTTCACAACCCGGACATATGGCACGGTACTGCCAGGGAAACGGTCGTCCTCTGTAAGGCAGGGCCAGGCTACAGAGGGGCGAGGTTATGGCCCAAGAAGCAAAATGATGGGAGTCTGTCCCGAAATGGTGATTACGATTGGGGACATCGCGGTGAAGGCAATTGTGGATACAGGCTCCCAGGTGACGACAATCACGGAAAATTTTTACACCAAATGGATGAAAGGAAAAGACCATAGGTTGAGGTCTGACACATGCATGCGCCTGACGGCAGCTAATGGACTAACCATTCCATACGGTGGTTATTTTCTGGCGGATGTCGTGGTGGCGGGACATAGGTTGAAGCAGGTTGGGGTGTTCGTTACGAAACACAACCTAGAGACAAATGTGTCAAATATACCTTGCCTGTTGGGCATGAATATTCTTGGCCAGTTGCCAGAATTTCTTACAAATATTGTCGGATCGACCACACCAGGTCGGGGATCCAAGTTGGCCAGGTTTGCCAAGACCAGAGGAAGGATATCAGTCCCGGCAAACACGGTCAAGGCAATCACATTACAAATTGGGGATAGAAGTGTGAATGGTGATGTGATGATAGAACCATGTGGCGCCGCACTGAGGGCAGGCGTCGTGTTACTGCGGACATACACATCAGCGGAAAATGGACTAGTTCAAGGATTAGTGGCAAATGTTTTGGATGAGGAAATTTTTATACCGCCTAATACTCTGGTAGGAGTACCACAGAACGTCGAGGTACAAAGGTCGGCACAGTGCATCGAACTGAGCAATACCAGCAGTAATGAAGTAACAGTTAGGTCGGTCAATGTGACGGCCGAGGTGAAGAAAGAGGATGGCCGATCATATACATTCCCGGAAACTGAGGACCCAAAACTAAATGAATTGTTGAATAAGTACAGGGATATATTTGCCTCGTACGAGGGTGATTTGGGTTACACGGAAGTAATAAAACACCAGATACCCTTACTACAAGACAAGCCGGTGGCGCAACCTTATCGAAGATTACCACCGAGTCACTACTCTGCGGTGAAGGCACACCTGAACGATCTACTAAAAAAGGGAATTATTACAACCAGCACGAGCCCGTATGCGGCACCGATAGTAGTGGTAAAAAAGAAGTCAGGGGAGATAAGACTGTGTTGTGATTACCGGAAATTGAACAATATCACAAGAAGGGATGCATTCCCCTTGCCTCGTATTGATGAATGTCTTGATGCGTTGGGGGGAGCAAGATTTTTTTCTACCTTGGATTTGGCTAGTGGCTACCACCAAGTGGCCATGCACCCCAACGATCAACATAAGACTGCATTTATTTCTCCACTGGGACTGTACGAGTGGACCCGTATGCCGTTTGGTCTAACTAATGCACCTGCTACATTCCAGCGAGTAATGCAGAGTGCTATGAGTGACTTTCTATTTCAAATAATGTTGGTACTTGGATGATATACTAGTTTATTCAAAAACTTGGGAGGACCATCTAGAAAGATTAGAACAAGTGTTTCTCCGTCTTAGGGAGATAGGAGTAAAGCTGAACCCAGACAAATGCTGCTTCGGTCTGAAATCGGTACATTTTTTGGGTTACGTGATTTCGTCGGATGGCATCGCCACTGACCCAGATAAAATTGCAGCTGTTAAAGAATGGAAACAGCCAACAACTACAGTAGAGGTCAGATCATTCTTGGGCTTTGCTTCCTATTATAGAAAATTTGTGCCTGGTTTTGCAAAAATTGCCGCACCATTGCATGACTTGGTAAACAAAATGACAAAGAAACACAGTAAGGAGAAAAAGAAAGGTAAAACACAACGGATAGGTGAATTATGGACTGAGGAATGCCTGAACTCGTTTAAGCTACTGAAAAAGGCTTTGACAGAGGCGCCGATATTAGGATACGCAGACTTTGACAAACCATTTCGGCTAGAAATTGACGCCAGCTCTAAAGGTCTGGGAGCTGTGCTATCACAACAACAAAAGCAAGGCTTCAGGGTTATTGCTTATGCCAGTCGAGCTCTGAAGGAATCAGAGAAGAACATGACAAATTACAGCGCCAGGAAACTAGAACTTTTGACATTAAAATGGGCTGTGACGGAAAAATTCAGGGACTATCTATTAGGTGCTAAATGTGTGGTATACACTGACAATAACCCCTTGAGTCACCTAAAGACAGCAAAGTTGGGATCCATCGAACAGCGATGGGCAGCAGAATTGGCACTCTTTGACCTAGAGATAAAATATCGCCCGGGGCGGTCCAATGGCAATGCGGACGCCTTATCAAGGAATCCTTACGAGAGACCGGGCGATGAGGAAGAAACGCTGACAGGAATATGTGAGGTCAGAGCGTCAACAGATATCCCTCACGGGGTGCAAGTGAGGCAGAACGGACAGACCGGGGTGGAGCACATTTCCACAGAGCCCGGACATATGGACATTGGTGATTTTAGTTGCCTTAATCACAAAGAAATAAGAGATGCCCAGAGAACGGATAGTGGCTTACAGCCGCTGTTGAAACACGTCCAGGAACAAAAATTCCCAGGAAGAAGGGAAAGAGAACAATTTGGTCGAGAAACAAAGAAAATACTGAGTCAGTGGGACCGTCTCAGTATAAAGGATGGTGTTCTCATGCGGAGAATTCATGACCAAATTGATGGGACAATACACCAGGTGGTGGTGCCTGGACAATTACGAGAAGAAGTGCTAAGGTTGGCACATGACAGGGCAGGACACCAGGGTCAGGACAGGACGCACAAAATATTACGACGAAGGTGTTACTGGCCCAATATGGAAATGGAGGTCAAACGCCATTGTGAGGCTTGTGTGAGGTGTCAGCATGCGAAAATGCCAGTTGTCAAAATGAGACAGCCATCGGGACACCTATTAGCGACAAAACCACTAGAGATTGTGGCTATGGACTTTACGTCGTTGGAGCAATCATCGGATGGGACGGAACATGTGTTGGTAATGACTGATGTTTTCACCAAATGGACTGTGGCGGTGCCCACACGAGATCAGACTGCCAAAACAGTGGCAAAGGTCTTAATAGAACATTGGTTCATCAAATATGGCATACCAAGACAATTACACTCTGACCAAGGAAGGGCCTTCGAGTCAGAAGTAATTAACCAACTGTGCAGCCACTACGGGATCAACAAATCTAGAACAACCACATTTAATCCGAAAGGAAACGGACAGTGCGAGCGGTTCAACCGCAGCATGCATGATTTGCTGCGTACTCTAGAACCTGAACAGAAAAAACGTTGGCCTGATTTTCTCCCAGAGTTGGTATATCTATACAACTGCACACCCCATGCCACAACCGGCTTTTCGCCATACATGTTGCTGTTCGGACGGGAGGCTCGACTCCCCCTTGACTTGTTCCTAGGAAAAAAGGAGAGTATGACTGGCTCATACACTGCACTGGAATATGTGAATGAACATATGAGACGAATTAGAGAAATGTACAGGGTAGTACAGGAAAGACTAGAACATGAAGCACGGCGAAGGGAACCGCCGGTACAGACAAAGGACCCGCCACTCAAACTGAACGACAGGGTATTACTGCGTAGCCACCCGTTAGGCAGAAACAAAATCCACGATCTCTGGGGACAGGAGATATGGCAAGTCGTGGAGATGCCTAAAGTAGCAGGTGGCCCCTTTAAGATAAGACCCATCGATCACACCAAACCGGATCGGTGGGCGAATATTGCTCAATTAAAGAAATATTGTCATAGTCAAGAAGAGCAGTTACACACAAGGAAATCCAAGACAATTAGGGAACCGGAAACTATAACGGAAATTCACATACCCATCCCGGAACCATGTCACCATCAACAGCGCAACAGCGATACACAAGGGGAGGATACCGGCAACAAGGAGGATCCCGGTCCCTCCAAAAGCAGAGAGACAGTAGACCATCAGATAAGTGGTCCGCGGAGAAGTTTGAGAAACAGAAAGAATACGAAATTTTTTGTCAGCAACCATCAATTCTTTCATGGTCGCGCTGGTATGAAAACAGACTGTTCAAAAAGTCATAAAAGTGAACTGGTGAAGGCACCAAACGAAAAAAGGTGGATGTGAATTCTAGAACTGTTTTGTGTCTGAGGAAGATGATGTAGACACATTGGATATGTGAAATAGGGATAACTGTCAATCTTATACGAATGTGACGACATTGACAGTGAGTGGAACAATGGATTTTTTTTTTTACGGTGGTGCGATGGACTTTGAAGGACTGCACCTGCCAAGCGTTGTTTGTGGTTGATAACACACAAAAAAAGGCAGGGGTGGATGTAACTAGGGGAAGTTACCAAGAGACATAACGTGTTACAGTCTGACGTCACAGTGCAGGTGTTGGCTGATGCCAAGGCGTAATATCTCGGGAAGCGATACGAAAGACGGTCTGTCAACTTTGATGTGACAGGATGCAGGTGGCTTATTAAAATCGGACGGTACGACAGAAGCGGCGTAATTAACAGTCTGATGTAACGATTAGAATCGATTACAATTACGATTATGATAGGACCGAATATGAGTACGATTATGAAGGGGATATAAGGAAGGGGACGGCTGAGCTCGAGGTCTCTCAGAAAGTCAGTCTCTCTCAGTCAGTCGGTCGGTCAGTCAGTCAGGCAGTCAGTCTCTCTCTCTCAGTGAGTCTGTGTGGCAGTACCACGTTGGTTATATTGTGTTAAGAAGGACGTTAGACATGTGTATTCAGTTAGATGAAGCCTAGTGAGGACTGTTGGGGGTCCGTTGATTCAGACTATTATTGTGAAACATCTCTCTTGATTCATTATATTATTGTGAAGCATTCTTTGATTCATGTAATAAAAGGATCAATAATGAACCTGCATCTTCGAGTATCTATGCTGTGGTCAATGTTGTGTGGAATGAGTGGTTAGACTCGGGAAGGTCACATTTGGCGTTGTCGCCAGGGTAGCCAGAGACTCGTTACATTTGGCGTTGTCGGCAGGATAGACTCGGGGACTCGTTACATATATATATAATTCTCTTCTTGGAGACCCTAGAAAACACCAAGCTGTAAGCACCCTCCCCACCACCCCCACCCCACATGGTCTGGTGAACTGTGGTTCACGCTAAATGTTTACAATCGTAGAGCCGGGTTAAGTGAAGGCTATTATGGGCAGATAATTTAGTTTGAAACGTTTTTAAACTTAGGGGAGGTAACTAAGCGGAGGCTGCTTTCATGGGGGGGGGGGGGGGAAAGGGGGGGGGTAGGGTTGGGGAAAGGAGGGGGGTGGGGGTTATCGTCCTTAACGAGCTACTGATAAGCAAAATAATTTCAGTCGCAACGTTGGTAGTGTCGAATTCACAAATTATGAATGACTGAAAAATAGGAATTTAACTAAATAACCGCGTATGCTACGTCGCGGGTCAGCTCGTTTAAGTTATTAGAAGTGTTTGTGTATTTTGTATATTTAAATTATAGTGAGTTTGTTTTGTTAGATGGCATTTGATTACTGAGTATTCTTAGTGCAAACATTAATTATTTTTAGCCTGATCTTCTATCACTTCTAATTTCCTTCTGAATTTTTAGACTTATAATTTCCCTCTGAATTCCAATGACTTATTATTTCTATCTGAATTTCTATGACTTATTATTTCTATCTGAATTCCTATGACTTATTATTTCTATCTGAATTTCTATGACTTATTATTTCTATCTGAATTCCTATGATTTTCATCTAAACCTCTATAGCTTATGATTTCTATCTAAATTTCTATGACTTATGATTTCCATACTGACCTGAGACAATGACACTTGGGATGTTGAATGGAATTGGTTTTAACTTCACTTTGATTACGGGATCTGGACTGCCCTCATAGACACCTCGCTGACCTAGATAAGGACACACAACACGTGCTACCAATTTTTCCAACAAAAACTGGTTCTCTGAGAGAAATACATTGTCCTGGATACTCTGAAAAATAAAGTTAAAATTTTATTTTAAACTTTTTTAGAAGTTCTATATTGTTTGGTTATAAAAATAATATAAGCTAAATACTAAACTGTGTATAGACCTACATACACAATTTTTAAAATGTAAAAATATAGAAATATCTGTAATTTACCTGTAAAACTAAAAGCATCTGTTGTATACTTGAGGGATACTCGTTTTTACTAACAGAGTCTAAGGCTTCTGTAAAGCAGATAATTTTATTCTTAAAATTGTACAAACAAACACCTCATTATATAACTAAACCTAAGTAAAATCCACCCTTTCCTAATATAACTGCGATAACTCAATTAAATAAAAGAACAGTAATGCTGAGTTCTTTACTTTGGGTCTACGTATTATCTTAGTTGTGTCCCTTGACAAATACAGATTACGTATTATATAAAACAACTTTTTGAAAAATGTCCATGCAAAGACTAGTCAAGAAAAAAAAATAACAACACAAACCTTTTATGCTGACCTTCAAGACAACAATATTTCTGAAAGCCAGCAGAGACAGAGATCGAACGGTTTCATCTTTACCCTAGTCAAATGTAGAAAAATAATGGATTGAAACAAATGTTTATGTTTACCCTCAGATAGAAGGACGCACATTACCGATACCATGCACCTCGTGGAGGGGGAGTTATGACTATATACCTGGTGAAGTGGGGGGGGGGGTGAAGCTTAGGCTTCTTTTTTGTGTATCTTCAAAAATGAAAATCGTTTTGTTTACAATTGCGAGGTAGGCCTACAACTTAGCAATGTGTTTTAGGGCATTTAAGATTAGGGCATCTAAGGTTAGGGCATCTAAGGCACTAAGGGGAAAGGGAACTCGGCTTGATGTTGTAATATAAAAATACAACAAAGTTGAAAGTTGTAACAGTGCATGTATCTATTGTAACTGTGCCTATTAAAAAAACAAAAGCACTGGACATACCAGAGATGACGTAAGTGGGTACAAGATGGCCTGCAGGATGGGAAGAATTTCTTTAAAAAAATAATCCCAGGTCTCTCCCAGTTGTTTCAGAAGTTCCAGTCCTGAAATGATTCCGTTAGTTTTAAAAGTTCTGTCAAGTAATCTGTTGTTGCTTTCAATATTTGTGGAGGAAGGGGTTGAGTGGGAAGTTGGATCTGTGTTTCTTTCAGTTATCTGTTAGCCCCCCCCCCCCCCCCCCCCGCAGCAAGTCTACGAATTAGAATTTAATTAGAAAATATTTACTTTTACCAGTGTCCCGTCCCTCCCTAGAAAAAAGTCTGAAAGAAACACTGAGTTGGATTCCTCCATTAAAAACAGACAGTCTTGTTTTTTCATTTCTATTCCAAGAACCACGGGCCTTGAAATGAACTGGGATTCCCAGAGAAAGACGATACTTTAATTGCACGCTGGGAACTTTCCTTTTCCGCCTTTCACTCAGGCCAAGGCTAGCTAATTATAGTAATTGAATCAAATTTCCTTCAAAACAATGGAATGGCGTTGTCGTGTATTGCAACTTTCAAAATAGAAAGGAAAAAAAATTCCCGACGGTAAAATTAGAAATAAACCCCCGACAAACGCAAGACAGAGACAAATGAGACTCTGAAAACTTTCTCTGGACAAAGCTCTCTGCCCATGGATTCACTACCATAAGTGAGCCCAACTAGCCCTAAACTACCACGATATAGCAGTTCACCTTTCTCTAGTTGCGCGATCAACATCTAGACATCAATGATTTAAACAAAAAGATCCAGGAATTCGTGTACTAAGAAGTAGTGTGTAAAAAAATCTGGGGCCCTAAAAATCTCCACAATCAATTTGTAGGCTGTGGTGATCGCGTTGGCTGCTCACCCCCCCCCCCCCCCCCCCTCCCCCCTTACCACCATTACACGATTAATGCTAAAACTGTTTTTTTTTGTTTTTAAATATGACAGAACAAGCAATGAAATTGCTACATCATGCGAAATGTGCACGCATTGTTTTAATCTACATATCACCAGCACCCCGGCCCGCGCTAGTTACCTCTGTGATGGATTACAATGTTTAGGCATGTGCCAGCTGTTTATTTTTCCCTGCATTTGTTTGCAGGTCAAGTGCCACACACCGTGCGCCCCGTGGTGTGAGCGCACTTGAGTGATGACCTTACACACCAACGGACACGCACACAATAGATGATGATGACCACAAATCTATTGGTGCTGTTGATGTTGATATTGAGTAATGTTATTGGTGGTGGTGGTAGAAAATCCCACCACAAATACAAACTTGCATGTTAAAGATCTATACAAAATAATGTTGAACATCCTGTTGTCTTACCTTGTTCGTTTTTTATCTTCTCTCTCAGTATAATCATGCCTTTCCGCAGCAACTGATCCTGGGGTAGAAAACATCAACATTTCATACATCAATGACCAGGTAACTCAACACCTTGTATCAGACCTGGACCAGGTAACTTAACACCGGGATCACATCTGGACCAGGTAACTTAACACCTGGTATCACACCAGTGACCAGGTAACTTAACACCTGGTATCACACCAGTGACCAGGTAACTTAACACCTGGTATCACACCAGTGACCAGGTAACTTAACACCTGGTATCACATATGGACCAGGTAACTTAACACCTGGTATCACACCAGTGACCAGGTAACTTAACACCTGGCATTACACCAGTGACCAGGTAACTTAACACCTGGTATCACACCTGGACCAGGTAACTTAACACCTGGTATCACACCAGTGACCAGGTAACTTAACACCTGGTATCACACCAGTGACCAGGTAACTTAACACCTGGTATCACACCAATGACCAGGTAACTTAACACCTGGTATCACACCAGTGACCAGGTAACTTAACACCTGGTATCACATCTGGACCAGGTAACTTAACACCTGGTATCACACCAGTGACCAGGTAACTTAACACCTGGTATCACACCAGTGACCAGGTAACTTAACACCTGGTATCACATCTGGACCAGGTAACTTAACACCTGGTATCACACCAATGACCAGGTAACTTAACACCTGGTATCACACCAGTGACCAGGTAACTTAACACCTGGTATCACATCTGGACCAGGTAACTTAACACCTGGTATTACACCAGTGACCAGGTAACTTAACACCTGGTATCACACCAGTGACCAGGTAACTTAACACCTGGTATCACACCTGGACCAGATAACTTAACACCTGGTATCACACCAATGACCAGGTAACTTAACACCTGGTATCACACCAGTGACCAGGTAACTTAACACCTGGTATCACACCTGGACCAGGTAACTTAACACCTGGTATCACACCAGTGACCAGGTAACTTAACACCTGGTATCACACCAGTGACCAGGTAACTTAACACCTGGTATCACACCAGTGACCAGGTAACTTAACACCTGGTATCACACCAGTGACCAGGTAACTTAACACCTGGTATCACACCAATGACCAGGTAACTTAACACCTGGTATCACATCTGGACCAGGTAACTTAACACCTGGTATTACACCAGTGACCAGGTAACTTAACACCTGGTATCACATCTGGACCAGGTAACTTAACACCTGGTATCACACCAGTGACCAGGTAACTTAACACCTGGTATCACATCTGGACCAGGTAACTTAACACCTGGTATTACACCAGTGACCAGGTAACTTAACACCTGGTATCACACCAGTGACCAGATAACTTAACACCTGGTATCACACCAATGACCAGGTAACTTAACACCTGGTATCACACCAGTGACCAGGTAACTTAACACCTGGTATCACACCAATGCGTGTTGACAGTTGACCTACTTTGTAATATTCGTGTACCAGTCCACCAGCTTCAGAGTTGATCAAAAATCTGTGGAGACAAAAATGTCTGCCTTTAAAAAGTCTGTTTTAAACATTTTGTTTGGTGATTTACTAGTCTGATATTTTTAAAATGTCTCATTTTAAGTCTATTTAAAAAAATAAAATTTAAAAAATAAAATAAAAGCTTGTTATTTGAAAAAGTCTGATGCCAAGAAAATAGTCTGTTGCTCATAACAGCATCCTGACAGTACCAAATCTAAACTGCATAACTTGGAAAGGGGGCGGGGCAAACTGAGTGAAATCAGATAAACAAAAATCATTTGGCAGTTTCTCGTGGAAACCAAACAAACAATGGCTACATCTGATGATGAAAATTTCGTTGAACATGTGGGAGAAGGTCTATACTGTAGACAGAATTAGAGCCATAAATCACTTCTCTCGTTTGTGGACATTTACCTCTCCCCTACACCACAACCCCCCCCCCCCCACCCACCCACACACACACCCTCCCATTCATCAGAAATATTCATCCCGCTAGTCTTTTTCAAACCCAAATTGTAAATTTACAAAATATTTAACAAGTATTAATATACTGGTCCATTTGTATTACAATTTACAAAAAATTATTTAAAGCTCAAGATATTCCAATTTTAGCTTAAATTTAATAAACAAAAACAAAGCAAAATGTAAGTAGTTTTTTATCCCCACTGTCACGATAGTTTTTGGTTAAAACTTTAAATAGAGCTGTAAAATACTTCTCCGGATTTTCAACTGTCTCAGATGAAATGTAGGAATATGACTACGCTTTTGATGACTTCACGTGAGTTTATTGGTCACGTGAAAACACAACGTGACATTTACCTGACGTGATCTTGAAGGACCCCTAACTCGTTATCTTTGAGAGGTTTTCTTTGGAATAAATGGATTATGGAACTTGATATTCTGTAGATAGAGAGAAATAAATCGATTATGGAACTTGATATTGTGTAGGTGGAAAGAAAGAAATGGATTATGGAACTTGTTATTGTGAATGTAGAGAGAAGTAAATGGATTATGGAACTTGTTAATGTGTAGGTAGAGATAAATGCATGGATTATGGAACTTGGATTGTGTAGGTGGAGAAAAAAATGGATTATGGAACTTGATTTTATGCAGTTAGAGAAAACAGGCTAAAAAGAAATGTGTTAATTGTTTATCTTAAAGAGTTTAAAAATACTCGGGAAAAGATGTTCACTTCAAAGTTTTTCTTTGAAATAAATCTGGATCAAAATATAATTGAGCTTTGCTAAGAGAGTACACTTTAATTAGCAAGCTTGTTAACCGTTTTCTTATTTTTTGGAAAATGCGAGAGCTAAACGATTCATATTTCAAAGCGTTTTTAAAACGAGTTTGTTGCCAGGTATGTTTTCGTTTGCCAAGATTTGGATCAACTGATTGCAGATCTGTCACGTGGGAGAACTGAATTAATGCGGTCTCTCTCTAATCCAACACACGCGATGGGATGGAGGGTTGGGTGGGATGGGGTTGGGGGTTGGGACAAGACACTCCAGCCCAACACAGTCGTGTGGCAACTGAGTGAAACATTTGGCGATCACATCGCAAATCTCGGCTTGTTATTTTCTGGCAGGTTTGTGTTTTCTGGCCAAATCCGCGCTCAAGGGGGGGGGGGGGGGGGGCGCCTCGGGATTTGGACATTGTTTAAATTCGTGTCATTTTCTGAGGTGGTGGGGTAATGGACAGGTGTGGAGTCAGTAGTGTAGTGGACAAGGATTTTATGGGTTGGGTCAGTCGTGTAGTGGACAGGGGTTTTATGGGTGGGGTCAGTAGTGGACAGGGGCTTTATCGGTGGGTTTAGCAGTGTAGTGGACAGGGGTTTTATGGGTGGGGTCAGTAGTGTAGTGGACAGGGGTTTTATGGGTAGGGTCAGTAGTGTATTGGATAGGGTGGGTCAGTAGTGTAGTGTTATGGGTTTTATAGGTGGGGTCAGTAGTGTATTGGATAGGGGTTTTATGGGTGGGTCAGTAGTGTAGTGGACAGGGGTTTTATGGGTGGGGTCAGTAGTGTAGTGGACAGGGGTTTTATGGGTGGGTCAGTAGTGTAGTGGACAGGGGTTTTATGGGTGGGGTCAGTAGTGTAGTGGACAGGGGTTTTATGGGTGGGGTCAGTAGAGTAGTAGACAGGTGTTTTATGGGTGGGGTCAGTAGTGTAGTGGACAGGGGTTTTATGGGTGGGGTCAGTATTCAGTAGTGGATAGGGTTTTTATGGGTGGGGTCAGTAGTGTATTGGATAGGGGTTTTATGGGTGGGTCAGTAGTGTAGTGGACAGGGGTTTTATGGGTGGGGTCAGTAGTGTAGTGGACAGGGGTTTTATGGGTGGGGTCAGTAGAGTAGTAGACAGGTGTTTTATGGGTGGGGTCAGTAGTGTAGTGGACAGGGGTTTTATGGGTGGGGTCAGTATTCAGTAGTGGATAGGGTTTTTATGGGTGGGGTCAGTAGAGTAGTGGACAGGGGTTTTATGGGTGGGGTCAGTAGTGTAGTGGACAGGGGTTTTATGGGTGGGGTCAGTAGTGTAGTGGATAGGAGTTTTATGGGTGGGGTCAGTAGTGTAATGGACAGGGGTTTTATGGGTGGGGTCAGTAGTGTATTGGACAGGGGTTTTGTGGGTGGGGTCAGTAGTGTATTGGATAGGGGTTTTATGGGTGGGGTCAGTAGTGTAATGGACAGGGGTTTTATGGGTGGGGTCAGTAGTGTAATGTACAGGGGTTTTATGGGTGGGGTCAGTAGAGTAGTAGACAGGTGTTTTATGGGTGGGGTCAGTAGTGTAGTGGATAGGGGTTTTATGGGTGGGGTCAGTAGTGTAGTGGACAGGGGTTTTATGGGTGGGGTCAGTAGAGTAGTAGACAGGTGTTTTATGGGTGGGGTCAGTAGTGTAGTGGATAGTTTTTTTTGTGGGGTCAATAGTGTAGTGAACGGGGTTTTTCCCACGTTTTCTTTAACTTGCTTTCTCTGTTTGTGTGTTTGTTTGTCTTTCCAATCAAATCTTGCGATCGAAATTTCTGGCACTTCCCAGTTAGCTAGCGCGCTGAAATTTTCAGGGAAGCTTTCTTTTGGATGACCATTGAATATTCAATTGTTATTATTACTAAATTGATCAATGGAAACATTTTATTGAGCATTTTAGACCGCTATATAATCTATATATATAATTCTCCTCTGCTAGCCATTAGAAAAAAAACCAGCGACGCGTACCTCGCGCGCAGTGAAGCGAACGATCACATGTCGCCACAGGCTTAGGGGCAGAGAATTTAGCTTGAACCGAGTTTAAACTTACAGGAGGTAGGCCAGTTTGGGGGAGACGATATGGTCGAGTGGTTGGGCACACGATTGCTATCCCACTCGACACGGGTTCAAATCTATGTGTTCTAGTCAGTAACGTATTCAAACAACGTGTTTTTTACGAGTTGTCTTTTTACGAGTTGTCTTTTTACGAGTTGTCTTTTTACGAGTTGTCTTTTTACGAGTTGTCTTCGTTTACCCAAAAAAAAATCGAAAAGATAAAATCGATAGCAAGATTTACATGCAAACAAACAGACAAACACTAAAAAGTAGAAAATAATAATCATTAAAAAAGTTTTAAAAAACCCACGTTTTCTGATTGAACTAAAAAGTAGAAAATAAATGCTATAGGCCCTACATCACAATAATGCAAGCGATCACTCTACTATAAGCGAGCAAAAACGTGGGGCGCCGTGATTTTCTTACAGTTTCTAATACTGTTGACTCTCTACAAGCTCCCTAATAAAAGTCAATAGTATTATCTAATCAATAGTAATATAACTTTTACTTCGGCGACCCACGTTTTTGATAGCTTATAGTAGAGTGATCGCTTGCATTATTGTGATGTAGGGCCTATAGCATTTATTTTCTACTTTTTAGTTCAATCAGAAAACGTGGGTTTTTTAAAACTTTTTTAATGATTATTATTATGGGTGGGGTCAGTAGTGTAGTGGACAGGGGTTTTATGGGTGGGGTCAGTATTGTAGTGGACAGGTGTTTTATGGGTGGGGTCGGTAGTGTAGTGGACAGGGGTTTTATGGGTGGGGTCAGTAGTGTATTGGATAGGGGTTTTATGGGTGGGGTCAGTAGTGTAGTGGACAGGGGTTTTATGGGTGGGGTCAGTAGAGTAGTAGACAGGTGTTTTATGGGTGGGGTCAGTAGTGTAGTGGATAGGGGTTTTATGGGTGGGGTCAGTAGTGTAGTGGACAGGGGTTTTATGGGTGGGGTCAGTAGAGTAGTAGACAGGTGTTTTATGGGTGGGGTCAGTAGTGTAGTGGATAGGGGTTTTATGGGGGGGGTCAGTAGTGTAGTGGACAGGGGTTTTATGGGTGGGGTCAGTAGTGTATTGGATAGTTTTTTTTGGTGGGGTCAATAGTGTAGTGAACAGGGTTTTTATGGGTGGGGTCAGTAGTGTAGTGGATAGGGGTTTTATGGGTGGGGTCAGTAGTGTAGTGGACAGGGGTTTTATGGGTGGGGTCAGTAGTGTAGTGGACAGGGGTTTTATGGGTGGGGTCAGTAGTGTAGTGGACAGGGGTTTTATGGGTGGGGTCAGTAGTGTAATGTACAGGGGTTTTATGGGTGGGGTCAGTAGTGTATTGGACAGGGTTTTTATGGGTGGGGTCAGTAGTGTAGTGGACAGGGGTTTTATGGGTGGGGTCAGTATTGTAGTGGACAGTGGTTTTAAGGGTGGGGGTCATGTGTATGGTTTACATGAGCTGTGATGTTAAGTTGCTATCGATGCACATTTTCGGAATATCCTACCAATACGTGATCTGAACAACTCATCCGTATTGTGTTAAGGCTAGGCTAAAAATAGCTTTGAACCCATGAAGTTTGTGAGTTGAGTTTACCCCCTGTTGTTTTATTGTTGCCCGTTATGTCGAATGTATAAAAGTGGTGTGAACGATGGCTAGGGGTGGTAGGGGAAAGTAGATGTTGGGTGTGTGTAGCCACGGAAGAACAAAGTGCTCAAAAACTTGATGTAGTTTGTTGCTTGTTCTTTGTTAACTCGACGTTTACACAAACTAGACTGGTCTCGTGATAAATGGGAGCTAACTCTAGATTGAAGATAGCTATACATACATACATACATAGATACATACATACACACAATACAATATATTTCATTTTACATTGGATATTATTATTAAAGAACCTAACCTTGACCTTCTATGAACTTACTACACTACCCAGTCGATCCCCCCCCCCCCCCGACCGCCCACCCTCGACCTGACTAAAAAGATCTATTTAGTCTATTCTCCAGTCCTCTCATTCAGTTTTCGCCATCATTAGTGCTCACCCCCCCCCCCCCGACCCCACCCCCTCCTCTGTGACCTCTCTTGAATGACGAGTTACTGTTCTTGGGCCGCATGCATAATTCAAAGCGCCACCTAGTCCAGAGCTCGAATTTTCTGGAACTGGCACAGATTATCTGTCAGACGACAGCCGTGAATAGATGACACGTGTCACTTAGGGGATTAGGGTTAGGTTAGGGTATTGGATTGTTACAGTAGAGTTAGGGTACAGGATCGTGCAGTAGAGTTAGGGTACTGGATCGTTACAGTAGAGTTAGGGTACTGGATCGTTACAGTAGAGTTAGGGTACTGGATCGTTACAGTAGAGTTAGGGCACTGGATCGTTACAGTAGAGTTAGGGTACTGGATCGCACGCCTAATAAGGAAATCGTGCTTGAATGAACTTGCTTTCCCTGTGCGAGACATAGGACACCTCATATAGGCTTCATTGTGGGTTGTTTTAATTTAAAATCAGGGAGAACAGGTTCACATTACGTGCGTGTCTCTATCCGTGTGTTTGTTTGTTTGTGTGTGCGTCTGCATGCGGGCCTCATGCCAAACGAGCCAGCTCCTGCCATAGCAGCTAACATATAAAAATGGCTACATTATCCACATACTTTCATCTATTTTAATTTCCTACTTCACACGACAACTTATCAGAAATAATTCATCTATCGCGGACGACTAAAATGAGTTATTTACCCTTTCCATAGATCCCCCATCGCCAACTGACCATCAAACATCAATGTGGACATGTCCGTGTCCGTGTTAATCCGGACAATTGAATGTTTCCGTGTTCAGGATCGCAGCCACCGTGTCCTACCACACGCCCCTTACCATCTACTGTTTACATTTATTAACCCACATATTAACCTAAGCTATCACGCGAACTTTGACCTTTAATATACGATTAAAATCTCTTTCTATCAGCGGATGCAATCAAATAGTCCCAGTCTAAAAACAATTGTGTGTTGATAATGCATGTGTGAGAAAACTCAAGGGAGTTAACCCCAATGATCGTTACACGAAGTAAAACATGAAACTTCGTGTTGCAACCGTTCAAATTTTGATTGCGTATTTCCATATCTCGTTACAACATTTTCTTGTACAACATTTTTTGTTGTTGGGTTGTTGTAGGGCCACGCACACACACATGTGATCAGATGACCACACACACGTGATCAGATGACCACACACACACACACGTGATCAGATGACCACACACACACGTGATCAGATGACCACACACACGTGATAAGATGACCACGCACACACACACGTAATCAGATGACCACACACACAAACGTGATCAGATGACCACACACACGTGATCAGATGACCACACACACACACACGTGATCAGATGACCACACACACAAACGTAATCAGATGACCACACACACAAACGTGATCAGATGACCACACACACGTGATCAGATGACCACACACACACACACGTAATCAGATGACCACACACACAAACGTGATCAGATGACCACACACACGTGATCAGATGACCACACACACACACGTGATCAGATGACCACACACACAAACGTAATCAGATGACCACACACACAAACGTGATCAGATGACCACACACACGTGATCAGATGACCACACACACACACACGTAATCAGATGACCACACACACAAACGTGATCAGATGACCACACACACGTGATCAGATGACCACACACACACACACGTAATCAGATGACCACACACACACGTAATCAGATGACCACACACACGTGATCAGATGACCACACACACGTGATCAGATGACCACACACACACACACGTGATCAGATGACCACACACACATGTGATCAGATGACCACACACACACACACGTGATCAGATGACCACACACACGTGATCAGATGACCACACACACAAACGTGATCAGATGACCACACACACGTAATCAGATGACCACACACACGTGATCAGATTACCAACACACGTGATAAGATGACCACACACACGTGATCAGATTACCGACACACGTGATCAGATGACCACACACACGTGATCAGATGACCACACACACACGTGATCAGATGACCACACACACACGTGATCAGATGACCACACACACACGTGATCAGATTACCACACACACGTGATCAGATTACCAACACACGTGATCAGATGACCACACACACACGTGATCAGATGACCACACACACGTGATCAGATGACCACACACACACGCGTGATCAGATGACCACACACACACAATTGATAAAATATGTACTAGACACAATCACATGCCTTTATAAACCACACAGCCACATCCACGTGTAAACCACACAGCCACATCCACGTGTAAACCACACAGCCCCGTGTACGTGTAAACCACACAGCCACATGCACGTGTAAACCACACAGCCACATCCACGTGTAAACCACACACTCACGTTTGTAAGATCTCTGTGCGGGACGACGCCTCTGTGGGGGAGATGGTGGAGCAAAATGGCGGCAGTGCTGACCCCCTTCTGGACCCTCGGGCTGCCCAGCTCCCGAGCTCAACGCTGGCTAGACTGTGTCTGTGGATGGACAATAGTAGGTCAAGGTCAAGATTGGCTAGACTAGGTCATGGTCAACATTGGCTAGACTAGGTCATGGTCAAGATTGGCTAGACTAGGTCATGGTCAACATTGGCTAGACTAGGTCATGGTCAACATTGGCTAAACTAGGTCATGGTCAACATTGGCTAGACTAGGTCATGGTCAACATTGGCTAGACTAGGTCATGGTCAACATTGGCTAGACTAGGTCATGGTCAACATTGGCTAGACTGTCATGGTCAACATTGGCTAAGCTAGGTCATGGTCAACATTGGCTAGACTAGGTCATGGTCAACATTGGCTAGACTAGGTCATGGTCAACATTGGCTAGAGTAGGGCATGGTCAACGTTGGCTAGACTGTGGACAATAGCAAAGTTGTGGTCAACATTGTCTAGACTGTCTATTATAACATGTATCAGTGTATAAGTTTATCATTAAGCATGTGTGAGACACCCTAGCCATATGGATCCAATAAGCTTATCTAACAATAGACCGTTAGCACAGTGTGATTATTAGAACAGCTGATACCGTGGGCCAAACAGAAGTGAACACGAACAATTAAAACCAGCTACCACCATACTTCATTATATTATACTGTATGTGTGTATGTGTATATGTTCATATGCATTACATTTTAAATGAGTTGGCGGAATTTCTTGATTAATATTAATTAGCAATAAATGCCTATATTATATATATATATATTATATATATATATATATATATATATATATATATATATATATATATATATATATATATATATATATATATATATATATATATATATATATATATATATATATATATATATATATATATATATATATATATATATATATATATATGGAGGAGGGGTGGTTGGTAGGGCTCGAAAACCTTTACTTTGAGTTCGTGCGGAGTGATTTATTTTTTTCTTTTTGTGGGGAAAAATATTTTAACCACGTTAAGTCCAAAGCTACTGCTCTTTTAAAGTTGTTTTGGAAGATTGAACTTTGAGATATCATTTTAAAACGTTGACTTTAAATGACAGCAATTTTAATAATTGGATTCCCGAATCTTTTAATTTTGTAAAATTGTAGGCACGCTGGTGTACAAAAAAAAAAAAAAGCTTTAATCACAATTAAAAAGTCTTGAAGTTTTCAGAAATATTTACACGCACTTAAAAATAAAGCAAAGATTATACTTAGAGCTACCATATCAGATATACATTTTTTTAAAAATTATGTTTTATATATAGATGGTCAACTAAATTTTACAGCAATATTTTCCAAACAATAAATAGCAAAAAAAAAAAAGCTAAAGCCGTAAATGAAAGAAAAATAATGAACTTGTTGTAGCCCTAACACACATTTAGTCCATGGACGGCCAACACACATTTAGTCCATGGACGGCCAACATACATTTAGTCCATGGACGGCCAACACACATTGAGTCCATGGACGGCCAACACACATTTGGTCCATGGACGGCCAACACACATTGAGTCTATGGACGGCCGCAGACTTACCTCCAGTTTGACGAGAACCGTCTAAGTCGGACACTAAATTTGATTTCCTGCGACGTTCTACTTCCGGTTAAAACCATTTCACAGCAATTATCCGTTTTAAAATCACGTTCAGTTTTTCCAGTCACTAACCACTGTTCACCTAGGCCTACTGAGTCTATCCGACTAAAGCTACCACAACAAATCCTCACCACACAGCGACACCAAACAGCAGCGCATCAAAACAGCTGAATCTCGACTGTTTTTGTTTCATCGCAAAACGCTAACTGGCTATGTTTTTACACTCCAATCTTGCATAAAATAAAAACAAAACGAAATAATTTTTTCACCCGCCCTCACGCATGTCGTGTGTTATGGACATAAGCGCGAGATGGCTGGATGTAGACACCGGTCCCCGGGCACATCAATCAGCCCCTGTCACCCCCGGGCCATTATCAGCTGGCTAGTTGCCGCCATAAATAATCAAGGGCAGGTTATTACGTCCTAATTTTAGCCCTAGCGGCAGATTTTTATAGAGTTAACCACTATGACGTAACGGCGCGCTTGAAGGATTTGATTGCTTATGAATATTCACGACCAAAAAAAATGTCAGGTATGTTAATATTGTTAACGCCATACAACCTGTAGATGCAAGAGGTGGTACCTCTCACCGAATAGCCGTACCCAGATGTTCTAGGTGTTTTTAAACCCATGAGGTTAGGTTTAAGTTTATAGTTAAGTTTCGGTATGTGGTTTTTAAAAATGTTTATTTAGGGCTAGAAATGGAGAGAGATGTAGAATTGGGGCTAGAATTGCGTGTGTCATCTGGGTATCGTTATTGGTGATTATAGTCCAAAAGTAAGGCGTATGTTAGGACGGCACAATTAATCTATAGAGAATTATAACTGTGGCAAACACAGCTCATTATTTCCAGAAAACACATAGAGGGCGGAAAATCCTAAGATCTAAGAATATGCTTTATAAGATTATAAACTTACTAGGCATGCTGCCCAGCTTCGCTTAGGCTTTCGAAAACATTGAGAATTTGAATGCTTAATTAATTCGCCCGAAGGTCGGTCTACGACCTCAAGAGTTATGAAGAGGTTCCTCCGTGGACATTTTTTTTTCGATTTATAGCTCATATAAGGTACCGGTCAGTCGAGGTCAGTTTTGACCCCCACATCGTAGACTTTTCGGCCAACCGGCCCCCGTGTTCTGTCGCACCAAGGCAAGATCATGCCAAATTTGAAGCGCCTGCGGCGCCGGGAAGTGCCCTATCGGACACCCGACAATCTAGATCTAGATTCCTAAAAGAATTTTTTTTTAAAGTTTAGCCCGAGCATAATAAAAAAAACTACATTAACCAAGTTGACTTGCTGTGTCTCGAACCCGCACCACCTGCGTGGTTTAATGTACACTAACATCTCCGCTATTTAGGCACCTTATAAAATACGGAGAATGAAAGTGAAACACGTATTTTAAAATCTTAACTTACGCGAATATGCCTATTCTTTCAAATTAATTTTTTATCCCAAATTAGCCAGTTCATAACAAAGATTTTGTATAAAATAAATAAGTCTTGAAATAGTTTAGTCCTAATATAGAAATTTATTTTTGGAATTGATTTTAGAGAAGTTAGAGTCTAAATCTAGATCTTAGCGTCTACGTCTAGATCTAGTTATTGCGTAGATTTAGATTTAGATTTAGTCTAGATCTAGAATCTCTAGATCTAGAATCCAAATACATAAAATACATTTTATGAGTTTAGGCCGGAAAAATTGTATTGTATACATTTCATAGTGTACGTAGATCTAAATCAAATTTGAATGAAATAGTTCATTTCTTTTCATTCTAAACACGGCAGATGACGTCATTAGTTAATGTATAAGCAATAGTGACGTCACAGTTTTATGCGTTCTTTTTCACACATATTAATGCTTTTCCGGTTGCATAAATAATAATGTTTCTCTACATCCGAATACGCCTTTAATTTTTATTTTTCTTCTTTAACTAAAATTGTGGTTATACATTTAAAACATCTAACATATTATTTTCAACAAAAGTCCGTAAAAAGTTCTTCATATATCGCTGCCAATTCTGACGTGATGTCCGGCGAAAATATTTTGCGGACAGAGAGAGAGAGAGAGAGATGTGCGAACGTGGGGATTTATATATTAGGATCAAAGAGAATAAGTCCAATTCCGGTAACCGGAAATCGCTCAAAAGTTTATTGAAACCTACGGATTATATATAGGCCTAATACTTCTATAAGAAATTTCGTCAACCTAAGTGAAACGTCACTCGAGTTATCATGTTCACATACACACAGACAAACATACATATCGACACACGACAAGGTTGCAGTTTTTCCGAATCATTACGGTGTAAAACGTCAAGATTTGTCAATATCTCGACCTGCACTGTTGCAACACTTCCTCAATACTCTGTGTAGCTTTAATCCTAGTAAAAAACACATTTTAAAAATAAACTAGAGCATCACTATCACTATCCAAAAACCTTACAAAAACCTCACAAAGAACACATTGCCTCCAACATACGTCTAGCCAATAACGACCTTGACACTGACCAGAAGACAAGGGAAATAATTCCACGGGCTCGGGGCGCACCCTGAAGCGAGAAAATAAATGTCGCCGCCCCTGTCAACAAATGAATCTTATTTAACGGGTCAGTTCGACGCGAGCAAGGGGGAAAATATTGATCTTCCTGTTAGCAGATCAAGAGGGGGAAAAAACATCGTTCTTAGGTAAAACAAAAATCATCCTTCGATTGAAAACGACGCAGGAAAACATCTTGTTTTGTTAGCCTTAAAGGACACCACTCACAATATACAGTGTGGAAGGCGGGCGGGGTAAGGGGGAGCTACTCACATTGTCTCCACCCGGTTCCCCCCCTTCACTCGCTTAAACATGAGTTGAAAAACTCGCGGGGCGGTAAGTAGGTCATGGACAGAAAGATTGTCGTGGTTGGGGAAGGAGTGTGGGGGTGAGGGTGGGATCTATCTAGGTCACATACCATCACACAGTAGGAAATCAACATCCCCACAAACCACATTTGTTGTGTTGCCAATATTGTCACAAAACATGTCTCCTATCAATTATTCATACCCTAACATTTGCATTGCATCTAGCTGCGATTAGATGACCCAAACACAATCATAATCAAAGCCTTTTTATCTAGCCCTTACAACAATATCTCTATTGATGATACAGACTGTTTCAAAATGTGGGTACGGCTAATCAATAAGGCCGTGAACAAAACAACCACAGCCACCGTGTTGTGTACCGGATGTACTATACACACGTGACCTGACTGTACTCACAACAGTGTGTTTTATTTTGATATTGTTTACTGACACGGGGATTCCCCTGATTTAATACATTGAACATACAGACAACAGATGAAAACAGTGTTGCTTCCAGACTTTTCTCTCCAGGGGGGCACTTGAAATTTCCGGGGGGCGGACGGAGGCGGA